GAGACTGTGGCCCCTATTTCCCCTTCATGTCTGGAATTGAACGCACTCCTGTGACTTCCAGCCAAAAAATACACAGGCATGTGGGGTGAACATTTACATCAGTTACATACACTTCTTGGAGGTATCAATCATGGAAGAACAGAAGGGCAGTGTTTGCACAGGGAGACCCTGGGGGCAGTGCTGGAGGGCACGGGAGGGAAGGATACAGGGAAGAAGCAGGTGTGGGGAGGAAGTGGGAAAAGCGCTGTTACCTTGTGGGGGATTGCAGTCAATGTCATGAGACAAAAAAAAGTGTGTACGAACTGCTGTATGGGAAATGAATTTGCTTTGTAAACTTTCACCCAATCACCACAAAGATTAAAGAGAAAAAGAGGGAATGAGAAGTTTGAGAAATTGTTGATTCTGGGACATGAAAGTACAAAGTGATCCAGGGACTTCTTTTGCACTCAAACACTTATAGGATTGCGTCAACAACCTACATGGTTAGTGTCACTAAGAAACAGAATTAAATTAAATGTAACATTAAAGTTGATTTAATTATTGGAAAAGTATGTTTGAAGTAAACTGGGATTGTGAATGTATCTTCCCTATAGTAAAATTCCTCATGAATGAACATATATTGATGTCTCAGTGCCTAAGGCATTTAACTGCTAACCAGAAGGTTGGCAATTCAAACCCACCAGCCACTCCACAGGAATACAGGACAATCTAAGTTATTTCTGTAAAGATTTACAACTTCAGAAATCCAATGGGGGTCTCTTCGAGTCGGAATCGACTTGATGGTAGTGAGTTTGGTTTGCTTTGGTCTGTTTTGTTGTTGATTTCATTTTTAAATTTAACACTGACAAGAGCCTAAAGCATCTGACTGCTAACCAGAAGGCTGGTGGTTCAAGCCCACCAGCCACTCCTCAGAAGGAAGATTGGGCAATCTATTTCCGCAGAGACACTGCTTTGGAAACCCAAGAAGGAGTCTCTTTGAGTCAAATCGACTTGACAGCAGAGAGGGTTTTTTTTTTGGGGGGGGGGCAGGTAAATTTTTCATGAATACTCACGTTCACATTTTTAATTTTCCAATGAGAAAATGATTTTAAATTGCACCGTTGACTTCCATTACATTCTCATTAGAGAGCACTATCCTAGACTCAACATCTACCCCACAGAAGACCAACTCATTAAATAAAACCCACTGAAGCCTGTGATACCAGGAACTCAATGGGCTTGACTTGTTTTTCTGCATCTCACATGTTTTCCACCTCTGACAGGCTGCTACCACTTTTTTATTACTTTCTATCAAGGATCCTCCCTCAGAAACACGCAGTGAGTTTTCCTCCCCTGAAAGGTTACTACAGTCAAAGGTACCACCTTTCAGAAGTTTTACTCTATAAGAATGCTGAACATTTTAACATTTTACAAGACTAGTACCTGAATGTTCTGTGTAAGGTAGATTAAACAGATGTAAAAAGAAAAAGGCAATATGGAAATGTTGTTTGTGTCTGTTCTAGTTCCCTGGTGCCACTCTGACAGGAATATACCACAACCGGGATGCTTTAACAAACAGGAGTTTATTCTCTTACAGTTTGGAAGTTTTAAGTCCGAGTTCAAATTGCCAGGCTCTAGGGGTTGGATGATAGGCCCCCAACCTTGGGCTTCAGCTCTGCCTCCTGTTTCCACCCCATTAAAGCTGGAAGCTTTTCTTCACTCATACAGCTGATGGTTGCTGAGGCTGACAAACCCAAGGTCGACAAGTAAAAAGGCACAGTCCCAGTGTTGCCAAACCACACATCAGGCCATTGATTCAAGTTCACTGAAAGTCCAAAAATCAGCAGAGCATGGCAGGCTGCTGAAAAATTCAATTACATGCAGGGTTCAAGTGTGCCATAAGCTAGAGCCTATTCCCAAAGCGCTCTTATATACAGGAAGTAGACCACATCCCTAAACAGCTACTCTGCTGCTTGTGGTAGATCCCACCATGGATCTGATTGCCAGTCTCATCATGGAGCATAACTACCACCAGCTGCCCAGCCGCTCAACCAGGCCCAGCCAAGTTGACACACAACCTTAACTACCATAGTATCCTAACTTCAAAAGGCCAACAACTATAATACTTTATGGACAACAGGATAAATTTTTATTTATTGTTTGGGATAGTGAGTATCTGATTTTTTGTTGGTCTTATTTGTAAGAGGTGCATGTTTAAAGGGTGAATTAAATGGAATTAACTATTAGTTGCTTCATCCTAATAACTTACATATATGGACACTGTCTTTACATTTATAAAGCCTCTCACCACTGGAATTTATATGATTAGTGAGGTTTAGAGATTCTCAAAAGAATTTCCCACATTGTGTATATTCAGAATGTTTCTTTCCAGGATGATTTCTTTATTCAGTCATGGATGAGGATTGACTAAATGCTTCCCCACTTTCCTTACATTCAAAATGTCTCTGCCGCTGTTGGGCTACCTATGTTCAGTGAGCATTAGACTCTGACTAGAGGCTTTCCCATGTTCCTTCTTCAAGGCCTCTCTCCACTGTGCGTTCTCACGTGTCTAGTGAGGTGCGATGATCTATTAAAAGCTTTGCCACACTCTTTACACTCATAAGGCCTGTCTCCGCTGTGAGTTCTCTTGTGTTTACTGAGGTATGAGGACTGACTGAAGGCTTTCCCACACTGTTTACATTCGTAAGGCCTCTCTCCACTGTGAATATTTACATGTGCAGTGAGGCTTGAGGACTGACTAAAAGCCTTCCCACATTTCCTGCATTCGTAAGGCCGCTCTCCACTGTGAGTTCTCATATGTATAGTGAGGACTGAAGACCAACTAAAGGCTTTGCCACATTCCTTACATTCATAAGGCCTCTCTCCACTGTGAGTTCTCATATGTCTAGTGAGGTGTGATGATCGATTAAAAGCTTTGCCACATTCCTTACATCCATAAGGCCTCTCTCCACTGTGAGTTCTCCTATGTTTACTGAGGTAGGAAGACTGACTGAAGGCTTTCCCACACTGGTTACATTCATAAGCCCTCTCTCCACTGTGAATATTTACATGTGCAGTGAGGCTTGAAGACTGACTAAAAGCTTTGCCACATTCCCGGCATTTATAAGGCCTCTCTCCACTGTGAATTCTTATGTGTGTAGTGAGGTATGAGGACCGACTAAAGGCTTTGCCACATTCCTTACATTCATAAGGCCTCTCTCCATTGTGACTTCTCATATGTCTGATGAGGCACGAGGAATGCTGAAAGGTTTTGCCACATTCCTTACATTCATAAGGCCTCTCTCCACTGTGACTTCTCATACGTCTAGTGAGGTCTGAGGCATGACGAAAGGTTTTGCCGTATCCCTTACATTTATAAGAACTTTCTCTACTGTACGTTCTCATATATTTAGTGAGGTTTGAGGACTGACTAAAAGCTTTTCCACACTTCCTCCATTCATAGGGATTCTGTCCAATATGAGTTCTCACAGGAATGCAGACATGAGGACAATTGCAGGTATCTCCATATTCCTTACACTGATAGGCATTATGTCCAGAATGACAGCTGTTATCATGTTTAAGTGATGAATGATCCATCAAGGATCTTTCACAGTCAAGACATGCAGCATATGTCTCCACAGGAGTTCTTTCGAGCACAGGAAGAGTTGGAATCCAGGTGAAGATCTGTTCACATTGATTGTCTTCATTACTTCCACTCAGATTATCTACCATATGCCTTCTGTCAAAAATAGGTAGCATGCTGATATAAATTTGTTAGCATTTCACCATTACCATACACAGTAAATATGGTTTTTTTCCTTGAATTGTGTCATGTTTTATAAGTAAATTAGCCAAGATGCTACCGTTATTTTCACTGGGTTTCTGATAATTGTGTATAAGTTAACTATATTTCAAATTAACTTATTATTGGTAACCCAGTGAAAATAACGGTAGCATCTTGGCTAAATTAACTAATAAAACATGACACAATTCAAGGAAAAAAAATATAACTATATTTCAAATGAGAGCTCGGGTAACATAGTGCTTAAGGCACTTGAGTGCTAACCAGAAGGCTGGCGGTTCAAACCCACCAGCCACTCCTCAGAAGGAAGATGGGGCAATCTACTTCCGTAGTGATACTGCCTTGGCAACCCAAGCAGGGGTCGCTATGAGTTGGGTCTGACTCAACAGCACATAACAACAACATATTTCAAATATTCAACATCTGACTCAAATTTATAAAAACACTATACTGTGGAAGTTCTGTGGACACACAGTATTAGAACTGATTATATACATATATAAGAAACCTGGAGGTAAAAAAAATTTACACTTCAATAAAACCTGAAGGTTGGTAGTTTCCTACCAACCTACCCAGAGGCATTACCATGAGCTGGAATAGACATGACAGGAATGTGTTTGGGAGAAACATACACTCATGTGCCACATTATGTCCGTTCAGGCAACATCTGGCCACATATGCATCCATGATCCCGTAAGGTTGTAACAATACAGAAATTCCAAGAGTAAAGTATTTTTCATACAGTAATAATAATAATGTTCTGATGGATGGTGCAAATTAGCACTTTTTTTGTTTTAATTACTGTGTTATCTCAAATTTGTAATGTAATATGCTTTAAGGGAGTTAAGTTCAGAAGTCTGGGTTACACATAAGTCAGATGTTTGTAACCTGGCAACTGCCTGTATACAATGATTTAAACAAATGTCCAAATCATATAATCTTTTATTTCACTGAATATGTCATGGATGTTAAGTGGCAAATGACTGTACGTAGATACATATGTATAAGTATATATGGACCTATACATATCTATTTTTCCCTCTCCACATATCAATAGTGATACATATGTATCTATGTAGATTTAGACATAAATAATAGCTATGGGAAGGAGCTCTGCTGGTGTAGTGCCTAAGGCATTTGACTGCTAAGCAGAAAGTTGGCAGTTCAAATCTACCAGTCACTCTGGGGAATGAAGACCAGACAATCTACTTCCGTAAAGATTTACCAGCTTGGAAACCGAATGGGGGTCACTATGAGTCAGAACTGACTCGATGGTCGTAGGTTTGGTTTTTTTGGTTATAGATACAGGAGACTTGATGGTGCAGTGCAGTGAACTGGAAAGCCTGATGAATTGAGGCTCCATGAGAGAAAGATGTGTCAATCTGCTCCCATAAACATTACAGAAACACTATGGGGCAATTTTACTATACTCTTTTAGGGGAGCTCCTAAGGCATTTGACTGTTAACCAGAAGGCTGGAGTTCAGTCACCAGGCACTCCTCAAAAGGAGTACCTAATGTAGAGTTACCATCTCAGAAACCCAAGGAAGGGTCGTTTTCAGGTCACATACATATAAGCCCATGTGGATGTATTTGCATGTATTACAGTTAGGTGCTGTCAGTTCAATTTCAGTTCATAGTGACTCACGTGACAGAGGACTCTATCACAGGGATTTCTTGGCTGTAATTATCACAGAAGTGTACTGCCAGACATTTCTTCCACAGAGACACTGGGTAGATGGAATTGCCAATCTCTTGGTTAGCAGTTGAATGCTTAACTAATTTGTGTCAGCTGAGCTCCACAGGTACATATATGTATAAAGTAAAAAAACTCACTGCCGTTGAGTCAGGTATGAGATATGAGGAGGGCTGTTGAGTCAGATATGACACACGAGGAGGGGCGACTCCTCCTCGGGTTTCTGAGGTAGTATCACTCACTACAGAGGCAGGTTGCTGGACCTTCCTTCTGAGGAGTGGCTGGTGGGTTTGAACCGCCAGCCTTCTGGTTAGCAACCAAATGCCTTAGGCACTGTGCTACCAGAGCTCCCGTGAGTGTGTGTGTATTTTAATGCCGTGCAACCTTCGTAAGAATCGCCTTAAGCAGTGCTGTCTCTTGAGTGAATGACACTCACCTCATATGTGTGGTCTGTCTGTCATCCTGCTCTTCAATGCCATGCAATTTGCAGAGTTCTCCCACCATGTAGGACCAGGTATCATTTTTCATGATGCGTACTATCATATTCTCAGTGGATAGCTTTTCTCCATCATTAAGGTTTTGAGAAACTGACCCAATGATTTAAGTTGATGTTCACAATATGAAACAAAAAGGAAATGCATTACTTAGAGGGGAAAGGCAGCTGTAAAAGGAAAGAACTTGACACATTTTGTACTTTGGCAATGATCAGAAAGCAATTTACTAAGAAAGAGTTCCATGAAGACTGACAATGACAGTGACATAAATAGGGTATAAAAAGTATTGTATACAATGTAAATGGAACGTTAAAGGAGAAAAAGGGATAGTCTTTCTCCATGAACACAAGCATGTCAGGATTGATGAAATTCAGAAACCAAGTTCAAGTGTCTGTGAGGTAAGTATATACTCCTAAATCCAAAGAGATGTTTTTCAATTGAATCATTCAAATTTCATTCCCTGCACAGAGGTCTGATTCTTCAAAGGATTCTGGCCTCCTGTGAGCCCAACACTGTGGTCCTGGATGGGTGGTGTCTGCACTCTCCACAGGTCATCCTCTTGCTACTCTGGGAGGGCAAGAGGGTGTAGCTGACATGCTGCTCAGGGAGAAAGGCAGACCATGAGGAAAGACAGGGAAGAGCAATGAACTCTTCCCTGACAATGACCCAATACTGTCGCCTTCAGGGTCTCTGTAGGTGTAAATTTATTTATAGCAAAATAACCATGCCAAATATGTCATAAACACAGAAAAACTCTTTACAAGGTCCCAGACCTTGGGAGCTCTGGTAGCACAGTGGCTAAGGAAACTGACTGCTAACCAGAAGGCTGGTGGTTCAAATCCACCAGCTACTACTCGGAAGGAAGGTGGGGCAATCTACTTCCGTAGTGATACTGCCTTGGAAATCCAAGGAGGGGTCGCTATGAGTCGGGGCCAACTCGACGGCACATAACAACAACAACAGACCACAAATATTCTATCTGTGCATCAGAGATTCCCCTGAAGTCAACACTCACACTTACCATATTTAAAGAATCTTAAGGCTTTTAAACACAATTGAAATGAAAAGTCAGTTAAACACACAGAGCTTTGAATTCATGAGGAAGCTGGGATTTTCATGCCCTAGAGAGGAAATGACCGAATCTGTGTCATTTAACAATGTATGCTAATTCCCAGGTCCACATGCTGGAGTAAGACAGATGAGTATGACATATTTGGTCAGAATGTAATAATAATAACAACAATAAAACATCCATACCTACTGAGGCCAGGTTTCTGAAGGTGTCCATCATCACATCTCTGTAGAGCTTCCTTTGAGAAAGATCCAGCAGCGCCCACTCTTCCTGGGTGAAGTCCACAGCCACATCCTCAACAGCCACTGAGCCCTGAAACATACCATATTCTGGTCAGCAGGGTCCCATGTACTCCCATGTGTGTGAAGGGACGGGTGAGGCTGACAGGCTTGGGAACTGAATTTCAGAGGATCTGACTCAGCAGTCCGTGTTCTACTAAGGTCCCCTCCGGGGTGCAGTCATCAGCCTCATGCCTTCCCTGTCTACATTCACGTCCTCACTGAATGCATCCTGTCCATAAACTTAACAATACCTGCAACACAATGAACTTAGTTCTCCACAGTTTGTGACCCGTTCCAGTCTCATTGTCCACTATCTGTAGGGTCTAGAACAGTCAGAACAGAACACAGATTAGAGAAATGCTCTATAATGAAAGCCTTATTACCGCAGTCAGATAGTCTCTTCTTTGTGAAGAAAAAAACAAACTAAATAAGGTCAACTCTGCACAGGACCCACCAGAATATTTACCAAAACATGAAGCACAGGGTGACAGCAGGATGGGACAGTAACATCTGGGAAACACTGCGGGACTAGAAGTTCTTCTTTTTGCTCCTCACCAACCATGTGAGGCCCAGTGGCAACCCAGGGCCCTGAGCTCATAATATTTTATTAAAGAATTCCTGCTGATGACAGGGGTTGAAAAAGGAGTATTATTTTGAGAAATTATAAAATTTTACACAGTTGCTACCTATTATTTTTTTATTGTGATTTGGGTGACGGTTTACAGAGCAAACTCACTTTCTATACAGCAGTTCACATACACTGTCTCATGACATTGACTACAATGTACCCTAATGCAACGGCTCACCTCCCACTTCCTCCCGACAGTCACCTCTTCCCTGTGTCCATCCCTCCATGCACTCCTGCCCCCTGAGCTGTCTCCCTGTGCATAAACAGCCCTTCTTTCTCCCATGACTGTTCTCTCCAAGGAGTACATCTACCTCAGGTAAATGTTCAACTCATATGCCTGTCTTTGGTTTGGCTGGAAGCCACAGTCTCAATGGTTCCACTAGGCTCTATCAGACCAGCAATTCTGGTCCCCCCCACCTTTTTTTTTTTTCCAAATGATTCTGAGTTTTGTTCCACATTGTTCCCCCTCTCTATCCAGGCTCTCCTATCTAGATCCCCCTCCGAATGGCTGACAGTAGTAGCTGGGCACTATCTAGTTATTCTGGTCTCACAGTTGCATAGGCTATGGATTGCATGGTGTACCGGTTGTTAGGACTAATTGTTTTCATGAATCTTTGGTTTTCTTCATTCTTCCTTGCTCTGGACGAGCAGAGACTCATCGTTGCATTTACATGGCTGCTTGTAAGCTTTTAAGATCCCAGTCGCTACTCACCAAAGTAGGAGGTGCAAAAATGTTTTCTGTAGTATGTTATATCAATTGAACTTGATGTCCCCTGCAACTATGGGCCCAAGCCCACAGGTTCAACTATTCACTCCCTCTGGGTAGCTGACTGTGACCAAGAAGTGACTATAACCTTATTCCTTGTTAGTTCTACTATACACCTGGGAATTCTTAAAGAACATACAAATACACTTGTAGAAGCACTGTCTGCCAACCCTATACATGGTTTTGGATACACTCGCCACTGCATAGACATACCTAATAGTTCAGCCTGTCCACCCGTCTATCCACCAGTATACCCAAGTTTGCTTTCCCTGAAAACGCAGTACTGTATGTGCACAACAGTTCATCTCTGTTGCCTGTACTTCCCATGTACCTCTCTATGTCTACCTATTCCTCGGTGCCACCAGGTTGATTACTCACAGTTGGTACACTGCCCTTCTTATTACCCAAATCATTATTTATCTCTACCTGTCTAACAGTGTTCCCCCCATCCCCTGGTAACCAACAAATAAAATTTTCTTCCGTGATTGACTTATGTCACTCAGCATAATGTCCTCCAAGTTCATCAACACTATGCAGTGTTTTGCAAATCCTATGTTATTCTTTAGGGTTGCATTAGTATTCCATTGTGTGTATGTACCATAGTTTGGTTATCCATTCCTCAGTTGAGGAATGCAACTGATTTTTGGATGTTGATCTTGTATCCTGCCACAATGCTAAATCTCTCAATTAGTTTCAGGAGATCTTTGACTGAGTCTCTTGGGTTTTCTAGGTACAGGATTGTATCGTCAGCAAGTAGGGATAGTTTTACTTCTTCCTTACCAGTTTGGATGCCTTTGATTTCCCTTTCTTGCTTTATGGCCCTGGCTAGGACTTCCAATACAATGTTGAATAGAAGTGGTGATAGAGGGCATCCTTGTCTGGTTCCTGTTCACAAGGGGAATGATTCCAGTCTCTCTCCATTGAGAATAATGTTGGCTGTTGGTTTTGCACAGATGCCCTTTATTATGTTGAGGACTGCCCCTTCTATTTCCATTTTGCTGAGAGTTTTGATCAGGAATGGGTGTTGGATTTTATCAAATGCCTTTTCTGCATCAATTGATATGATCATGTGGTTATTTTTATTTATGTGGTGGATGATGTTGATTGTTTTTCTAATGTTGAACCATCCTTGCATACCGGATATGAACCCCACTTGGTCATAATGAATGATTTTCTCAATATGTTGGAGTCTATTGGCTAGGATTTTGTTAAAGATTTTTGCATCTATATTCATGAGGGATATTGGTTGGTCTGTAGTTTTCCTTTTGAATGATGTCTTTGCCTGGTTTTGGTATCAACATTATGCTTGCTTCATAAAATGAATTAGGTGGGATTCCATCCTTTTCTATGTTTTGGAATAGTTTGAGTAGCATTGGTGTCAGTTCTTTTCTGAATGTTTTGTAGAATTCTCCAGTGAAACCGCTTGGGCCAGGATTTTTTTGTTGTTGGTAGTTTTTTTATGACCTGTTCAATGTCTTCTTTTGTTATGTATCTGTTCAACTCTTTGACAACAGTCTGTGCTAGTTTAGGTAAGTGGTATGTTTCTAGAAATCTGTCCATTTCTTCCAGATTTTCAAATTTGTTGGAGTACAGTTCAGGATATAGTATCCTGATTTTATCCTTTTTCTTTCAGTTGGTTCTGTTGTGATGTCACCCATTTCATTTCTTATGCGTGTTATTTGTATTCTCTCCTTTTCCTTTGTTAAATTTGCGAGTGGTTTGTCAGTTTTACTAATCTTTTCAAAAAATCAACTTCTGGTCTTGTTGATTTTTTTCTACTCTCTTTATATTTTCTGTTTTATTGATTTCTGCTCAAATCTTTATTTCCTTTTTCTGGTAAATGCAGGCTTTTTTTACTGTTCTTTTTCTAATTGTTGGAAACGTTGGTTTAAAGTGTTGATTTTGGCTTTCTTTTTTGATGTGCACATTTATTGCTATAAATTGGCCTCTGATTACTGCTTTTGCAGTGTCCAAAACATTTTGGTATGTTGTGTTTTCATTCTCATTTGATTCAAAGAATTTTTGAATTTCAATTTTTATTTCTTCTCTTACCCAGTCTTTCTTCAGTTCTTAATTTCTGCTTCTCTGGAAATCTCCTAGTTTCACCATCATATTTTAGGGACAATTTTGCTGAGTATATAATTCTTGGTTGAAAATTTTTCTCTTTCAGCGTTATACATATACTATCACATTGCCTTCTCACTTGCATGATTTCTGCTGAGAAATCAGAGCTTATTCTTTTTGTTTTTCCCATGCTGCTCTCAGGATTCTTTGTCTTTTGTTTTGATGAGTTTGATGATACATCTTGGTGATTATCTTTTGGGGTCTATCCTGTTTGGGGTTTGTTGGACTTCCTGAATGGATATAACCTCATCTTTCATTGTATCAGGGAAGGTCTATTCCAACAAATCTTGGACAATTTTCTCAGTGGTTTCCTTTTTCTCTATCTGTTCTGGAAATCCAATGACACATAGGTTATTCCTTTTGACAGTATCCCACATGAACCTTAGGCTTTCTTCATTTTGTTTTGACCTTTTTTTCTGACTGATCCCTTTCCAAAGAAGTATTCAGGTACTTCTCTTCAATCTCATTAATTCTATCTTTGACTGCAACAGTTCTACTCCTTTGCCCTTTCAATGTGTTATTTATTTCTGACAATTTAGTATTAATCTTCTGGATTTCTATCTGTAGATTTAGAATCATTTCCAATTTTTCATTTATTCTGTCATTTTGTTCTTTTATTTTCTTCCAAAGTTCTTCTATGATTTTGTCTGTGTTTTTCTTGATCTGTCTCTCAATCTTTTGAAGATACCTAAATATAATTCTTTTGAATTCCTTATCAGAGAGTTCCAATGCTGCGTCTTCTGTAGTATGTGTCCTGGATCTGTATTTGGCTCCTCTGTGTCTACAACTTTATCTTGCTTCTTTGTGTGGACTGTGATGGTCTGTTGTCTCCAAGCCATTGTGGCATTATTGTATTTAGATCTCTGTTATCTGTTTGTGAAGAGCAGCCAAGGATGAGTCAGGCTCTTCTTGGTGGTTGTTTATCGTTGGCCTGTTGGTGGAGAAGAAGTGGTGGCTCTCAGTCAGTAAGTGAAGTTGCAGGAGGTGTGGGTATAGTTGTCTTATGGGGACTGTTGCTTTCTTCCACTCAGTTAGACAAAAATAACAACTGAAGAACCATCAAAAAAGTAAAAGCAAATGGACAAAAAGTAATCACACAGGAACAGTAACCAAAAAAAGAAAAAAAGGAGAAAAAACAACCCCACAATATCTGGGGAGAGGGCAATAAGAGAAAAAAGGTAGAGAAGGAGAATAATAAAGAAAAAAATGGGAAAAATGCAAAAAGAAAAACAGGGAACAGGGTCAACGACATGAAAGGAAAAAAAAAAGGAACCAGGATCAGGGAAAATTAAAAAAAGCTGAAAACTAGAACCTAGGAAGGGAAGAATAAAGAGTAATAAAAAAGACAAGAGTGATAATAATAGTAGTAGTTTTCAAACAGACCAACAAACTAAGGAAAAAAAAAGAAAGAAAATTGGGGTAGGGAAGGGCACCCAAGCTCCATCCGAGCATGCAGACTGGAATGGAATTCCTGCTGGCTTAGAAGGTGGGTGGGAGTGAGGATGGCCACACTTCTGTTCACCAATAGTGTGTGGGATATAAGAGTAACAAGGGAAATGTTGCACCTTTCCAGTAGTCCATGTCCAGAATGTCCTTGTGGTTCCCAGCAAGTAGAGTCTGTTCTTAAGTCCCTGGAATGTGTCAGAACGTTATCACTTTAAATATCCAAAATGGTCAAACCATCTGCAAACATTCAAAATGGCTGCACCCTCCGGACAGGCAAAAGTGCACAGCTCCGTCTGCCTGCCTCTTCGCTGCTTCCCCTTTTATTCATCAGCCACCAGACCAGTCCTCTGTGCAGCCCC